CAAGGCCTCACCCACCCCCAGAGCTGGCCCTGGATATCCAAGCTGCCTTTGGCCAGGGCGCACATTCAGCCAAGCTGGGCTACAGCCTCAAGCACCAGCCACAAAAAGCAAGGAGCCTGCCCAACACAGCCAGCCCCTGCAAAACACACACCCATGGACAGCCTGCCCCACCCCTGAAACCCCAGCACAGGCCAAGCACACACAGGGTCAAACACTCAGACCAGCAGACAGGGAGCAGAAGGGTGCTTCTGGGGAGGCAGAAGCTACAATGAGAACCCTGACAGGGAACCTGGGTGCAGGCTCCAAGGCTGCCTCACATGCACCACAGCCCTCAGGCTGGACCTGGTTTAACCCCAGCAGGGCCACTCCCTACGGCCAGGGGCGTGCCTTAGCCCATGCCAGAGCTGCCTAGATGGCCTCTAGCACTGCCCACTGCTCAGCCAAAGCCCAACATTGACCATCACCTCCCCAGCCTTCTCAGTCCTGCCACCTGGGAGGCAGCGGGTGGGAGCACGCTTGATGAACAACCTTGCCTTCTCCAAGGGTCCTTGGGCAAGGCTTCTCTTCCAAAAAATAGTGTCAAAGAGGCTCAGGGCCAAAACCTGAGTGGGGGTCAGGTGGGGGTGGGACCTGGGACTACCTGGTCTATGATTGAAGGGCGAGGGTACATCGCAGCTGCCCACAGAGGCCGATGCGACTCGTTCCTGCTGCTTGAAGAACTCCCGTGGGTTGTCAGGCCGCTGGGCAATGATGGCCGCTGCCTCCTGGGGGCACAAGGGAAGGGTCAGAGTCGGGCTGGCCAGGCTGAGGCACTCCCTGCTGGACTCACCTGCCCTGTCCCCCAGCTCTCACCTCTACCTCCGATTCTGACTTCTTCATCTGGGTCTCTTCCTCTTCATCCCTCCGGTCACCCTGGGGAAAAAAGGGACAGTGTCCTGGGCACCCCCACCAGGAGCGCTTGCTTCTTACAGCCCGTTTCCTCCATAATCTGGCAGGAAGAGGCTTGCAGGTGGCACCTCTGCTCCCTTTACCACATCACACAGCTCCTTCTCTCCATCCACAAGGCCCTCAGCCACCTCATATCCAGCCTGGACAGGTGCCTGAGCACCCAGCTCAGCTCCTCCTGCTCCTTCGCCCCAGATCCCCAGTCTTCCAGGAGCACTCCCTGCTTTGCAGCCAACTTTTTTCAAACCTCCTACCCCAGTATCTAGCCAATAGCGCTGTCTGAATTTCAGCATCGTGACTGAGGCTTCCGCATTAACCTCCCTCCACCCCTGACTTGGCCCACATTCCCCTTCCCCTGCCTGACCTCCCCCCTGTCACCTCCCCAACAGCCCCCTTCCACCCTGACCTGCCCACACACCCTGAGATGCAGACCTAACGTCCTCAGCATGACAATAGTTTTCATCCCTGGAACATGCATGCCATGTACCACTTGGTATGGGAGAGGAACCTCTCTCTCCTCAGACGCCCAACCCCCGCCCCAGGTCCAACTCTTCCTGCTTCTGGCCTCAGCTTGGGCACTGCCTCCTGGGGAGGAGGTCCCTGGCCCATTCAGGTCCTTTCCTTCTTTGGGTCCCCACCAGGTGTTCTAAGCACACACCACAGGTTACACTGTGTCGGAAACCTCCTGTTTCTGGGGTCAGGTCCCCTACCCTTTGCGGGTGACACAGGATGAGAACTCAGGTCTCTGTGTGTGGCCAGCATGAGGTTGAGTTGGCACATGTTTGCTCAGTTGGATTCACTACACCAAAGCCTCTTAATAGTGTCCCCTGCTGCTCCTGTGGCAAATGGGGCAGGAGGGACTGAGGGGGGACAAAAAGCGGCAGGTACGGTGGTGAAGTAACTGGGCTCCTGTTTTTGAGCACATGCATAACCGACAGGGTGCATTAGAATGCCCTTCACCGTGTCCCCCTTCAAGAGGGTTGTCACTCAACAACTTCGTGTCTTCCAGAATGAAGTCTAGACTCCGCTGACCTTGCTCTACCTTCCCCAGTTCCCCTGCTCCTCAGCCCACTGGGCTCCAGTCAGTCTCCTTGCCTTCCCATAATGTATATCCAACCAGCTTTTTCGGATGCTCTGTCCCTGCCAGTATAACCTCCCTAGGTTCCTCTGCTTCAAAAAAAAAAAAAAAAAAAAAAAAGACCAGAGTTGGTTTTCCACCTACCAACGACGTGAAAAACACTGAAACAAGTTAGGGCTGTGGGTAGGAAGAAGATGCTGCTGCGCCTGAGCATCTGCAGATATACGGGAGCTCCCGGCAGCCCGGGCATAGAGGGAACTCAGACAGGAAATGCAAGTCTTATCAGAAGAGAGGAAGCATTTTATAGTTCTAAATTCCAAAGTTCCTCACATGGGATCTTCCTAGAGGACCTGGACTTGTAAGGCCACTACACTGACCTGTTAGAACAGCCACTGTCACTATCACAGGAGCCACACATGAAGGGGTCAGATGGGACTATCAAATAATGGTGCAAGTTCCTTAAGATTGTGCCTGAAATGTTGATAATTAGTGCAAGATAAGTGATCAGCTCAGAGGGGACACTATGCTATTCTTCCTACTTTGTGGGTGTGAAATTTCCTATAAAAAGAAGCTTTTTCAAAAAAAGCCCTTGCTCTGAATGGACAAACTAAATGTGGTATATACAGTGGAATATTATTAGCCTTAAAAAGGAAGGAGACATTCTGACACATGGATGAACCATGAAGAAATTATATCGAGTGAAATAAGCCAGTCACCAAAGGAAAAATTCTGTATGATTCCACTCACGTGAGATACCTAGAAAAGTCAAATGCATAGAGGCAAAGTAGATTGCTAGGGGCTAGGGGGAGGGGAGAATGGGGAGTTAGTGTTTAATGAGTACAGAGTTTAAGTATGGGAAGATGAAAAAAATTCTGGAGATAAACCGTAGTGATGCTTGTACAACGTGAATGTATTTAATGCCACTAAACTGTATATTTAAAAACGGCTAAGATGTTACATGTCATGTTATGTGTATTTTAAAAATAAAATCTTCGGTTAATTTCATCTTGTTCATCTTCACCACCATATTTTTAACACCTGGCACAGGCAGGTGGTGGCAAGGGTTTGTTGAATGAATGAGGCTGGAGCTTACCAACTACACATTACCTCCACCCATCCAGAGGCTGGCGGGATTGGTGACCTATGATAGCCACTTAATGCCAATGCCTGCAGGGTGTCCTGCCCCCTCCCTCCCAGTCTTCTCCTGTGGATGTGGCACTGAAGCTCCTTTGGGTCCCCAAGGCCCAACATCTGCCCATCATAGTCCCAATTCAGACAAGTATCACCCACCTCCTGTCCTGAACTATATCGCACCACTGAATGACCTTAATTCAAAGCATGAGGATTTTCAAAGGGCCAATCCACAGGCCCTATGGGACACCCCAATGTTTGAAGGTTCAGACAGCATCGCTGGAACAAGGGGCTGTTCTGAAGGAGACACTGCACACACAGTGTATTGCTCAGAGCACCAGCCAGATTCATTTGTGTGGCTCTTCAGCACTAGTGTTGGGGGACCAGGTCTGCAGCCCTAAGTGCAGAAAGCATGTCTAATCCATCTGAGCCCCTCAAGCCTTGTGGGGAGGGGGGGCAAGGGAGCCTGGTCAGTGAGGGTCTGGGTCAAGATAGATTTTCCTCTTTCAGTCTAAAGTAGAAGCTTCTCCAAGCTTTACTTAGCCTGGGGCCAGACCCCACGTGATTAAGTGGCAGATCTGACCCTTCATGGCAGCCCATGGAGCAATACCCAGAACACCCAGCACTGTCTCCAAGCCACTGATCTCCCCAAGAGGCCCGGGAGCACAGGGCCCACCCTCATTTCCATGACCAGGAGGCTGGAAGCCCTGGTTAAGAACTTACAAAGATAGACTGCTCATTTAACCGCCTCTTGGCCTCCTCAGCTTCTAAAGTCTGCTGTTTCCTCCTGAAATGATAAGTGAGCCTAAGTGGGCATGCACCCTTACGGAGGGCCCACAAGGACCTGCCTGTGGCAGGGTGGGGCCTGCAGCAGGCGGAGCTGGGCACACCTGTGCTCTTCAATCTGCTGTTCCCTCTCTCTGTAGCGCCGTTCCCGCTCCTCCTGCTCTTGCCGCTCCTGCTCCATCCGCTCTTGCTCAAACCGGAGTCTCTCGTCCAGGGCCTTCTTCCGCTCCTCCTCCTTCCTCAGCTCCTCCTCCTTCTGCAGCCACCCGTGCCAAGGCAGTGTAGACCCTGAGCCAGGGGGCCCCCTGTCCCACCAGGCCATCCCCAACCCAGGGCCAGTGAGGTATGGGTTCTGAGAAAACATGAGTCCCCTGGGCATAAGTCTCACTCTTTCAGCTGGGGGAGCACACGGGATGGGACACACTATTGATGGGGGACTTGAGGAGAGAATCCCAGGGCTACCCCATGGGGTCGGGTCAGCTCAGCCTGCAGGCTGGGGTTGGGGTCCACACCTTAGCCTGCTCCCAGAACTGCTCACGGTTAATCCGCTTCATCTCCACAGCTGCGTCAGTCTTCTGGTAGGTGGTGCCCTGCAGAGTCAAATGGTCTGGTATGAGCTCCGAGAGCAGGCTGAGAGCTCCTGGAGTTCCTACCAGAAAAGGCTGAGGACTGAGAGGGCGGGAGTAGGAGAGCCCTGGGCAGGGCCAGCTGCCCTCAGGCACACTGACCACCGGCTCAGCATTCTCATCCTCACGCAGCCGCAGCCGGTGCAGCACAGGGCTGGAGAGCCGTGCCAGGCCGTTGGAAAGCCGCTGCCCAATGGCGCCCGCATCTATGTCTTCCACGCTGCTGGCATTCACAATCACATCGACACCCTGCAGCAAGAAGGTGTGTTCAGGCAGTATGGCTCCCCCCCATCACCACCATCAGCATACAGACCCTGGGTGGCTGGTCCCACCCCGACTCGCACCTGGAAGAATTCAGCCACCTTAGCCACATGGCTGGCACAAGCACATTTTCGGGCATCAGGCACATCTTCACCAACCTGCAAAGTAGCCAACAAAGAGGGGCTTGAGAAAGGACAAGAAAGGGCCTGGGCTCTCTTCCCAGGGGTAGAGTGGGGTTCCCTCCAGAGGTGTCAGAGGGTGGAGGGTAACTGTTCCGGGGTCTCAGCCCCCTTCCCAGCCCACAGCTGCATACCCAGTTGATGAGCACGTATTTTGGCAGCGCAGCCTGGGAGTCCTTGACGCTGCAGAAGCCGTACATCACCTTCTGGTTTTCAAAGTGGCCTGAGAGTTCCTGCAAGCCCCCGTCTGGAGGAATTAGGAGGCATCAGGACTCCCATCTCCTAACCCTTACCCCACTGAGGGCCTGGAACCCAAAGGAAAGACTCCATTTGTGGGCTCTGCAGGCACTGACCCTCCCCCCTTGTTCCCTCCCAGAGTTCTGTGTTGGTGTGAGAAAGAGTGGCAGGCAGGCACTGGCTTTGCCTCTGAGTCCCCAGGGCCTGATTCGGGGTAGGACTGAGGAAATGCTTGTTCTTCACACATCGTTATGACATACTAGTGCCTGGTGAGGTAAAAGAAAGCCTTTGGGCTCTAGAGAAAGTGAGGGAGATCCGGGCCATCCCTACCGGGTCCCCTCCCCATAGCTGTGTGACTCCTCCTCTCTGAGGCTGTCTTCTCATTATCAAATAGGAAACAAGGCTGCCTCCCTCCCACCCTGGGGAGCTTAGGGATGATCAGGAAGGACACCTGCCGGACAAGTGTGGGTCTGCTGGATGCAGGCAAGGAGGTGACCAGGAGCCAGGTGACCTACAGCCAAGCGGGTGGGGAAGAAAACAACCAGAGGAGCGGGGAGGAAGGGCTGAGAGAAGGCAAAGGAATGGCTGGAATTCTTACCTCCCGATGCTGCGAGCTTGAGGTCATCTGAGCCATCCTCATATGTGTACAGAGCCCTGGGGAGAGGGAGTGGTGGTTCTTAGAACTGTCAAGGCCCAGGCTGCCAATTTTGGGTGGGGACAGCTCTAGGGAGGAGGAGGAGGGACACAGAAGGGGCAGGACGGGAAGGGGGCTCTGCCCCAGCACTCACTGCCTGACAATAGGGCTAGGAACCATTTCTGGAGGGGGGACGCCCTGAGACCTGGTAGAGGGGCGCCTGGGTTAGGTGGGGAATAAACAATGGGGGTGGGGTAGAAATCACTGTCCATGTGTCACGTCCTGGGAGCTCTGGTCCTGGCAGCCTACAACTCAGCAAGCGGGTGGGACATGGAGATTCCAAGGCGATGGTTCCTTGGTTACTGTTCCCTGGCTACCATGCTCCTCATCCCCCATTGGCTGTTGCCAGGCATGTGTCTTGGTACCCATCGCCCCTCCCCTCACAGCAGGGAAGGGGAGGAGAAAGAACCTGGTGCTCACTCTGATCAGGGCATCCCCTGGTAACCATGGCAACCCAGCGACTGGCACATGACTGGCCCACTCCAACTGCAGTCTCCTGAACACAAAGGACCCCAGGGACACACCCTCAGCCTTAATCGATGTCTCACTGAAATGTGGATGAGGTCACCCAGGTCCCTCTTGCCCAGACCGGGGCCCCTGGGTGATTTTACTCTTCCTGGTCTTCCAGCCCCTAGGCCACCTCTGCCGCAGCTGAGGCCCTGGCCTCCTGGGACTGCCAGCCTTTCCTTTAGCCTTAGCTTCACCAGAAAGCTGACTTAGCAGCCTTCCTAGCTTTTTTCCTCTTTCCTAGCTTTTTCTCCCAAGTGGCAGTGGCACAGCATCCATTTCACAGAAGGGAAGGCAGAGATGTCTGCTCCTGAGGACCCCCTTTGGGAGAACAGGCCTGGGACAAGGAAGAAGGGCCTTGGTCCAGAGGCTCCAGAGGGCTCAGTCCCTTCCCCATTTCCCTATTGCCAAGGCAGAAGGCAGGGGGTTGGGAGGGTGGTGGGAGCACAAGGGATCTGGACAAGAGAAAGGGAGAGTCAGTGGGGAAAACAGGGAGAGGCGGAAGAAAGAGAAGACAAAAAGAAAAAGAGGAAATGAAGGAGAGAGGAAGGGAAGGGAAAGAAAAAGGAGAGAGGGAGGAAGCAGGAGAGCAAAAAGGAGGGCCTGGCCTAGCCCCATGAGGTCAGCACAAGTCACTGCTAAGGACACACACACATACACACACCCCAATTCCCAGGATCCCTCCCTCATGAAAGGGACACAGGTGGGCTGTGAGGCGGGGAGCTCTTGGTCCAACTGTTGCCCGGGCCCCCTTGCTGGCAGCTGCTTCCCAGAACAGCTGTCCCACCACCTGTCCGGCTGCCCTAACCCACCACTGGGAACAAAGGGCCCTCAGAGAAGCAGGATCTGTCCTTCCCAATTCCACAGATGAGAAACTGAGGCAGAACTCCGAGACCCTGGTCCCCAGACACTGCCTTAGGCAGCATACTGCCCAGGGATGAATGTCAGCCTCTCGAAGGCTCTGCGGGCCCTTCCTACTCCCAGGAACGCCTGCCCTGCCCCTTCCGTCCTCAATCCTTGCCTACCTACTTTCAGGCATCTTTCTGACTCCGGCCACAGCCCTGATCAGGCAGAAACCGCATCTAAGTTCAAAGGCTTCAACAGGCCTTTGGTCCTGAGCTCTACCCACCTGCCTTTCCAGCTGGACCTCTGTATCCACGCCACACACTGGGTTAACCTAGATGGCTCCCTGATGCCGAACACAGTTTTGAATATTTCCCACTCTTGAGACTTTGTGTATATGGTTCCCTTCGCAGAAAGGCTAGGTCTGTTTCTCCATCCCATGCCCACCCTTGGCAGAAATCCCTCGGGGTCCTGATGCCAGATCTCCAAGAAGCTGTGTGCCTCCCCATACCACTTACCACATCCCAGCAGGGATGGAAGAGGCATCTGAGCCCGCCCCAGATCTCACTAAACCAGGGCTTCTCACATACATCGGAGACAGCCTGGGCCCGGACAGCACAAACAATCAGGAGTGGGGGAACCGGGACTCTACACGTCTCACCAGCTCCAACCCCTGGCGACAGACATTGCCTTGAACCTAAGCTTGGTGAAGGCGGATATCTGACTCAGTCAGCCAACACACTTCACTCTGGGTTCAGGATCCAGCACACAATAGCACCAGTAGGTATTTGTAATATTGACACAAACTCTGAGAAACCATCTAGGCCAGAGAAACGGGAATGAGGTAGGAGCCGGAATATGGCAGCTCCAAGGAGAAATGCTGGGGTCAGCTGAGGCGAGAGGCTGAGGGCAGGCAGAGCCCTCAAGACAATGGCACTCTCAGATGTTAGAGATGGAAGAGCCCTGGATGTCCCAGGTATGGTTGAGCCCAATTCCCTCTTCTTTTCTTTTGTTTCTTCTTATTATTATTTTTAAAGTTTTTATCGACTTGAGAGAGAGAGGAAGGGAGAGGGAGAGAAACATTGATGAGAGTGGAACACTGATCGGCGCCTCCTGCATGCCCCCTACTGGGGATGACGCCTGCAACGGAGCATGTACCCCAATGGGGAATCGGTGCATGGGAAGGCACTCAACCAACTCAGCTACGCTAGCCAGGGGCCCCTCTTCTTATTTTCAAGAGGATCAGAGAGGAATGAATTCTTGTGTGGTCACACTGAGTCATGTCACATCCAGGGCAACACTGGCTCTCCTGGGCCCCCTGTCCCCGTGACTGGGCAGTGGTCCATTTCAAAAGAAGTGAGCTCGCCCCACCACCCTCACCACTCAGAGGCCAGGAAAGGGAGAATAATGACAAGCCCCCTTTCCCCAGGCAGCAGTTTTATCCAAGACACCTTCCTCTGGCCTCTGAGTACAGGGTCTGCTCCTAAGTCCTGAGACCCCACTGTATCCCTAGCTCCATGCCGGCAGCTGGGGGCATTCATGCCCCCCACTGTAGGATGTCATTTTCACCCTTTTTAACAAAATGCTATCTAGGCCCTTGGGAGTGAACAAATGTGTGCACATGCAAGGGTACATGTGTGCATCTGTGTGTCCCACACAAAACCCAGATGGGAAGTGACGCACGCCAGTGATGAATAACTAGTTTTGGCCACATGGATACTGCTCGGTGACGGGAGCTCAGGGCTCTACTGAGCAGGAGGTGGGCCAGCAGTGGTTTGTGGTCCCGCACTGGGCCTCCAGAGTTCTGCTTTTGGGAGGTTAGGGGCAGTGATATGGTGGTAGACAGTACCCCTAGACTGAGGGCGAGGGGGGCATTCTGAGATGGACCACGCCCCTCCCCAGGCAGGGCCCATAATATCCCACACTCCTCCACCAGGCCAAGCTGGCCACTTGCCCTGAACTCCTCCCATGATCTCAGCCCCCAGGAGCAGGGCTGGGACAACGGGCTGGCCGGCTACCCACTTCGCCTCTGCTGGCCTCTCCTATGACTGACCTGCAGAACATGGGAGCTTGTCTCCCGAGTCCATCTCTCCAGGCAGGCCTGGCTGCCCGCCAGTGCTGCAGTACTGTGGCATGGACGCCTGGCCATCCGTCCCCTCCTCCAGCCCCCAGGTCAGTGTTCCTACCGGAATGCCCTCCCTACTTGGGTAAAGCCAGCCAAGTGAGGTCCCTCAGGCCTGCCCTCACTCCGTGCCTTGGTATCCTGCCGGCCAGCGGGAGCAGAGGTCTGGGAATAGAATGAGCACCTCACCCAAGAGATGAGTATTTGGGGGGTGAATGATTCCTGAATGGGGCAGTGTGGAACCCCTTGGCTTTCTTACCACCCTGAGGATCCCAGCCCCAGAGCAGGTGGTCCACCCCGCCCAGCTCAAGCTGGAGACAATAGCTGTGGACGGGGAAGAGGGCAATCCCACTCCTCCCCCCCAGGGAGCTGAGAGCCCCTTGCACTGGCCACGGGGCCAAGGGTTCAGAAGATCTGCTCAGCTCCTCGTCCCTTCCTGGGGGCTCCCTCCAGGCTTGTGCGCCTGAGGGCTTCCTCCCAGGGTCCCCAGACTGCCCTCTCGGCTGGCAGTTCGGCCCCCTTGGCATCTCCCAGTCCAGCTGCCCAATCCCTGAAATCCCCTTCACCCTGCCCCCTCCGCGGCCCCGGAGAACAGGAGTCATGGGCTGTTGCCATGTGGCCATGAACATCTTTCCATCACACCCCAACTCCGAGAGGCCCCCCCGGTGGGCGGGGCACCCGGCCCCTCGCCCTCTCCGCTCCTCCCCCGCCCCAGCGTTCCTTTGTGCTGCGG